CTGAAATGTACCATTTCAGTTTTTTTATTTTTTTAGTTTTCATGTTTTTTTTACTAGAGAAAATCACCGGATCCCAAACCGCGCGGTGGGTGGGGTGTGTGGGAGTTGAACCTCACTAAAAGCTCCTACCGCTCACAGCCGGCACCCTACCCCAATCCGGGCCGGAGCCCAGTCGGGGCTATTGAGACGGCGGGACAGGATTGACGCAGAGCACATTACATCCATCCCACCGTCCCACAGACGCCGGACTGGCGGCCGGCGGCGACACGACCACCGGTTCCCTCGGTCAGCGGGCCGAGAGCCCGCCTTGATGGCGGTGCGCTACACGTTCCCTCGGAGCGGTCGGAGGAACGCGGTCTACCATCACCCGGCTTTCTACCACGGGCGAGTGTGCCGAGCACGCCACCTCACGCCTGGTCTCTCACCGCACAAAGCGGGTGGATCCCGAAGCTCTTAGAGGCCGGGTCATGGATGAGACTCCGGTCTAGACCCCTTGCTCCCTGCTCAGCGGCGGCAGCTTTGCCTCACTCGCACCGCTGCCTCCTTCCGCGAGATGGTGCACTCGCAGAAGTCGAGCATAACCTCCCCTGGGAGGGCGATCAGTCCTGATTGATCGCCGTCAAGCATCGACGCCACGATGGCAGCGACAAGTCCGGTCCTATCTTTCCGACCAGGACACGGACCTGCACTTCTCAAGCGAGGCATATAGCGAACGCATGCTCCGCCGTGTCCAGGTCGTGTCCACAATGGTGAACCCTTGTCGTCTGATCAGCTCTTATCCGGTAAAGGTACTTCCCGAAGCATCTGTCCCGGTCAGCACCTGCATCAGACGAAAGGTGAGGCGAGGACGCCTCACCGAATGGACCGCCACTATTAATTTTTCAGTTTTCGTGATCTTGACGACCTATAAATATATTCAGTTTATTATTACCTGGTACCTGGATTAACGCATGGGTTAATTTTACCAAGGTCACTAAGATGACCTTGGCAGCCCAGGATCATTTCTTATAATAATAATTGACAACGTGTTCACGGGCTCGTAGTTTTACATACCAACGGAGCTACAAATCGAGTTGTACCTTAGGAAATTGAACACGAGCATCTATTTATCGTGGGAAAATGCAAGGAATTTTCGACTGTTTTTTTTTCTTAATTATAAACTCAGCGCATCAGCGCAGGTAAAATAGTGAAGCAAGTCTAGTTTATTTTTGTCATTTACTAATATTCAATGAAATATTCATTGTTTTCAAAATCCGTGCAACGTACTTAAAAATTTGATGATCTCTGGGTGGATTTCCTCCCGTTTCCATCATGACGGAAAATCTGAGCAATACCATTCCGCGTTCACGCTCAATAGGCTCTACCCTATGATCTGCAAGCGAAGTAAACTGTCTCTTCGTAATAAGGTGATGATTGACAAATAATGTTTACGCCCGATCTTGATCTATACGAGTATTGTGTCGCTGACACAGCCCTCGTCCATACACTTGTCTAGATCTGGACCTCATCCGTAATTATATGCAAACAGTACCGTAATGTCATATCACGATGCGATTTTATCGCACAAAATTATTACTATCGACGTTTATCGTGGTTGCTGCTAACTGCATGCTTGACCTGTCTCACGCAGCAGCCAACGATCGTCGCCGTCCCAGACATATCCTGACGTAGCCCATTGCATTTCTCGCCGTATGTTCTCAGCGGTTCTCGAGTTTTAGCGAGACTAACGAACAGCAATTCATTTTTATACGTATAGAAGATTATAGTATATCCCACGCACCGATCACAGAAAAACATCAAATAAATAAAATACTACGTTCGTGTTGTTAAACGTATTGTTACTAAATTGTTATCGTCTGTTGGACGTGTGCGAACAAGTTACATCATAATCTAATATCGAGCTCAATATTGTGTGTTGTTTTGCTGTTATCTATATACATATTATATACAAAGAGACAAGAACAGTTAAGTAACAATATACTCTCTGTTTGTGAAACCACTCACATTTCTTTTGTTCAGTAAATATTGACGTGCTTCAGTGGTATTCTATACTAATATTATAAAGAGGAAAGATTTGTTTGTTTGTTTGTTTCGAATAGGCTCCGAAACTACTGGACCGATTTGAAAAATTCTTTTTCCATTAGAAGCCGACATTGTCCCTGATGAACATAGGCTACTTTTTTTATTTATTTTTTTGGTTTCATGTGTGTTTTAATGTTTCCGAAGCGAAGCGAGGGCGGGTCGCTAGTNTGATATTCCTTCTAAAGTTATTGATGCGTCCCCAGGTGAATATACGCAGTCCGCAGAAAACCTATTTATTGAAATCTCCTTTCACCATACTAAGCTTCTTCTAGGCGTTCTTTATAGCCCCTCTTCTCATGTTGACTATTTCTCCTCTTTCGAATCTAAACTTGAATCTCTTTCCCCCCTTTATGATCATACAATAATTCTTGTTTTTTTATTTTTATTTTTTTATTGCTTAGATAGGTGGACGAGCTCACAGCCCACCTGATGTTAAGTGGTTACTGGAGCCCATAGACATCTACAACGTAGACGTGCCACCCACCTTGAGATACAAGTTCTAAAGTCTCAGTATAGTTACAACGGCTACCCCACCCTTCAAACCGAAACGCATTACTGCTTCACGGCAGAAATAAGCAGGGCGGTGGTACCTATCCGCGCGGACTCACAAGAGGTCCTACCACCAGTAAACTCGCAGAAGTCGCAGACTCGCAGGTGTACTCGCAGAAGTCGAGCATAGCCTCCCAGGACTGATCACCGTCAAGCATCGACGCCACGATGCCAGGCAGCGACATGTCCGGTCCGACCAGGACACAGATCTGCATTTCTTAAGCATACAGCGAGCGTATGCTTTCCGTGTCCAGGTCGTGTCCACAATGGTGGCACCTTGTCGTCGGCTCAGTTCCTGTCCGGTGCAGGTACTTCCCGAAGCATCTGTCCCGGTCAGCACCTCCACCAGACGAAAAATGAGGCGTCCTCCGCCACCGATTCATAGTTTTCGGGACCTTAGACGACCTATAAATATTTTTTGTCGTATGTAAAATTTAATGCTATTATTTATACTCAAATATTGATACATGGACAAGTGTGAAAATATAGATGATTGGTACCTAACCATGAAAAATGACAACGCATTTGCGAGATCTCCCACAGATATAGTTTATTATTACCTGGTACCTGAATTAACGCATGGGCTAATTTTACCAAGGTCAATAAGATGACCTTGGCAGCCCAGGATCATTTCTTATAATAATAATTGATAACGTGTTCACGGGCTCGTAATTTTACATACGAACGGAGCCACAAATCGAGTCGTACTTTAGGAAATTGAACACAAGCATCTATTTATCGTGGGAAAATGCAAGGAATTTTCGTCTTTTTTTCTTAATTAAAGACTCAGCGCATCAGCGCAGGTAAAATAGTGAAGCAAGTCTAGTTTATTTTTGTCGTTTACAAATATTCAATTTAATATTCATTGTTTTCAAAATCCGTGTAACGTACTTAAAAATTTGATGATCTCTGGGTGGATTTCCTCCCGTTTCCATCATGACGGAAAATCTGAGCAATACCATTCCGCGTTCACGCTCAATAAGCTCTACCCTATGATCTGCAAGCGAAGTAAACGGTGTCTTCGTAATAAGGTGATGCTTGACAAATAATGCTTACGCCCGATCTTGATCTATACGAGTATTGTGTCGCTGACACAGCCCTCGTCCATACACTTGTCTAGATCTGGACCTCATCCGTAATTATATGCAAACAGTACCGTAATGTCATATCACGATGCGATTTTATCGCACAAAATTATTACTATCGACGTTTATCGTGGTTGCTGCTAACTGCATGCTTGACCTGTCTCACGCAGCAGCCAACGATCGTCGCCGTCCCAGACATATCCTGACGTAGCCCATTGCATTTCTCGCCGTATGTTCTCAGCGGTTCTCGAGTTTTAGCGAGACTAACGAACAGCAATTCATTTTTATACGTATAGAAGATTATAGTATATCCCACGCACCGATCACAGAAAAACATCAAATAAATAAATACTACGTTCGTGTTGTTAAAAGTATTGTTACTAAATTGTTATCGTCTGTTGGACGTGTGCGAACAAGTTACATCATAATCTAATATCGAGCTCAATATTGTGTGTTGTTTTGCTGTTATCTATATACATATTATACACAAAGAGACAAGAACAGTTAAGTAACAATATACTCTCTGTTTGTGAAACCACTCACGTTTCTTTTGTTCAGTAAATATTGACGTGCTTCAGTGGTATTTTTCTATAATTTCATGTTTTGGAAATATGTAGTAGTTTCTTATTTCTTCAAAGAATACGCAACAGTTAAATACCATTCTAATGTGTTTATTTTCATTGTGTTCGTATCTCGCTGGCAGGTACCAATTTGTCTAATGAAATACGTACTTGACAAATCTTTACGATTGACTTCCACGGTGAAGGAATAACGTCGTGTAATAAAAATCTAACTCGCAAAATTGTAATTTGCGTAATTACTGGTGGGGGGACGTCTTGTGAGTCCGCACGGTTAGGTACCATCACCCTCCCTATTTCTGCCGTGTAGCAGTAATGCGTTCCGGTTTGAAGGGTGGGGAAGCCGTTGTACTATAAAAAACTGAGATCTTAGCACACATATCTCAAAGTAGGTGGCGGCATTTACGTTGTAGATGTCTATGGGCTCCAGTGAACACTTAACCATGGGCCGTGAGATAGTACACCCACCTAAGCAATAAAAAATAATAATAAAGAACGCGTATATTCTAGAATACGTTTTGAGTTTTATTAGAAAAAATAGTATGTACATACATATCTGCGGGATTTGAACACCGATATAGCCGCGTTAGTTAATACGATAGAGATAAAAATAGCATTGAGATATACATTACGATTGTATTATTAAGTACATCTTCTTCAATATTTTACAATAATTAAAATTATTTTTTTAAATATGTTCGAACAGTTTGAAACCATCATGGGTGGACTCTTCCGGTTAGTGGTAGCGTCTTGTCTAACAATAGAACTTCTGGCGTCTCAAAATACAGAACCAGCATACAAGTTGGATCCTAACGCTTGGTGGGGACCGGAATGCACGAAATACCACAATGATACCAGCATACGACCCTTTGAGATCGTTTTCCATGACAAGGTATGTCTTTTAGATTGTTGATTGTTAATTTATCATCATCACAGAATTTACTTGAAACATTTAGGAGTTTTACTGAAGTTAACGTACGGACAATCAGTCTTTTAAATGTACAGACTTACGTACCAAAACCGCTTCATAGTCTGTTGAGTCATGTCATCATAGAACTGAAGATATCAGTTACCTGAATCTTGCTAACGAAATTTTCAAAATAAGTTTGTATATATACAAGTTCCAAGCAACATAAAAACCGTCAGTCTACAGAGAAATTTTATTCGCTCGGTGATTATTTTTTTTTGAATCACGTCACGTTAACTTGTGTTACAGGTACCAGATAACGAAAATAAATGTAAGATTTTTATTACACACATACATATATTTAATATACATCCATAACCCTGGAAAAGACATTTATATTTATCATACAAATATCTTCCCTTGGCGGGGTTCGAACCCGCAACCCCCTTGTGTAGTGACCATGTCACTTACCACTACACCAGACGGCCGCATTTAGCTTCCCTGTAACATTACTTTCCAAACTAATGACCTGAGACGGAACAATTACAGCCGACACACTTAATTCATCAGTTCTATTAAGAAACACGCTAAATAAAACGAGATTTACATGTTTTGATTTTATTATACGACTTGTGATATCAATTGTTAAAAATCAGTCGGCAAAGAAGCGAAAATATAACTGAATCGTACCCCAATAGAAAAATCTACAAATAATAACACACTAGTGGAAATCGTCAAAAAAATGGACACGCGAGTTATGTGTTAACACGAGATTTTAGATTACGGCTTCATCAAGTAGACAGCACTAGGTAAAGCATTAGGTGTGCCTCGGGCCTTCCTGATGTAGATGAATAACGATAGAAGGAATTATCCTGTTGTTAAAAAAATGCTGTTTTCTTCTTGAGCGCGCATCAGATTTTTTTTTATTGCTTAGATGGGTGGACGAGTTCACAGCCCACCTAGTATTAAGTGGTTACTGGAGCCGATAGACATCTACAACGTAAATGCGCCACCCACCTTGAGATATAAGTTCTAAGGTCTCTAGTATAGTTACAACGGCTGCCCCACCCTTCAAACCGAAACGCATTACTGCCTCACGGCAGAAATAGGCAGAGTGGTGGTACCTATCCGCGCGGTCTCTCAAGAGGTCCATCAGTAAAAGCTGGTCCCCCTTTTCCACCTTTTAAAGCAAAACACACGACAGTGTCGAAGCGGAAATAGATACAATCGTCGAAAATCTATAGATGTTCATGGTCACAAATGGCTCGTCAAATGGTAACGAAAATATATGACTTCGGTTGTTTACCACACAATGGAACTCGTGTAGTGGACATATTGACGTGGAAGAAGTCGTTTTTAAATTAGAGCGCTCAGCTGCAGAAAACTAGTTACCGCCATAGCAGCTTCATCTGCAGGGCGTCTTAATCAACAAGACAAAAGCATAATTTCTGAAGTAATTGGAAAAGATAAACTTTTCTAAGAAAATGCTCTTTCCGTTTAAACTGTTCTTGAACCGCTAACCATAAGTATAGCGCTTTTTCTTTCAAAATAAAACCCACATGCTTCTATTGTATTCTATTGACTTACCGTTTGTTGAACAGCAGACTGTGTTTGAGGCTTGAGCGGTGGTATACATAATATCAGTGCACAAAAAGTGAATCCTTTCTAGATGATAGCGGACCTCAGATATCGACTTAATAATCATCGCAAACCCGTGCCACCGTTAGAAGGGATCGGATTTGAGTACGGCTTTAACTCTAATATCTTAGATGGCTGGCTTCAATATTGGGCAGAAGAGTATCCCTTTAAGGAAAGGGAAATATTCTTGAACAAATATCCCCAATATGTGACCAACATACAGGGATTGGACATACATTTTATTAAGTACAGACAGAAGGTAAAAATGAATTGTATTTTATATAACGTTATTGTAATTATTTTATTCTATCCCATTCCCATTATCTTTTGGGAAGTTATACTCGTATTATCGCATTTTCTAATTCTTCAACTTCAACAACTATAATCCCTTTCTATTTTTTACAGAAAAAACCAGACTCCCCTCATAGTGTTTTTTTAGGTTTTATTGGATAAAATAAGATTTGAATTACAAGTGTATATTCTTCACAGGCTTATGCCCATCAAGAAATAGTTCCGTTATTGATTCTTCACGGCTGGCCAGGATCTGTGAGGGAATTCTACGAAACAATACCACACTTGACAAGTGTAAATAAAAGCAGAGATTTTGCTGTCGAAGTAATAGCTCCTACTCTACCAGGGTTTGGATATTCAGACGTAAGCATAATTATCATTCCATGGTGATATTTATTTATTTTTTATTGCTTAGATAGGTGGACGAGCTCACAGCCCACCTGGTGTTAAGTGGTTACTGGAGCCCATAGACATCTACAACGTAAATGCGCCACCCACCTTGAGATATAAGCTCTAAGATCTCAAGTATAGTTACAGCGGCTGCCCCACCCTTCAAACCGAAACGCATGATAATGAAAACTTTGGTACCGCTTATTCACATTTAGCCTCAAACATAAACTGACTTGGTGAATAATCAGCCGAATAAAATATCAATTTTATTAACACTAGCCTTGACCGCTATTTTCGTACTAGCACTTTCCCGAAAATTTAAAACTCGCGTGTGTGTGTCGAATCAGCAAATCAGGTTGGTTTAAGTTTTTCAAATGATTAAAGTACGTGTACCAATTAACTGAACGAATTAAATGAAGTAATCTAATGGTTAACATCCTTTAATTTACCTTGATTGAAGTTAAAGGAAAAGTGAAGAATAAATTACTTAAATATAAACATAATTTGGTACTTAAACAGTAATGATAATGCTTAAGTTAATGATGATCAAAACCGAAAAGTATTACTGGTATATAAATGAATAAAAAATCTAGAAAGAGCCGCAGCTGAATCTTATTTCAGAAATATACATTATTTATTGCCTTGGTAAGCAGACGAATATGCTGTGTACTTAATGGAAAGTTATCACTTTCGCCCATCCGCAGCAATTTTGCCACTACTCAGAATAAAAACTCTCCTTAAGCCTCGTTTGAACTAAAATGATGTAGCACTTCGAAAAAAGCCTAGGGCAAGGATCACTCCCGACTTTTAATTTATGTCTAAGGGAAGATCCAGAGGTAAGTGGATTCAGGTAATACTGGTGAAGGGTAATTCGATGGTAAAAACGAAAGAAAGGTACCCATTATCTCTTCAGAGAAATCTCGCATTATCTCTTAAAAATGTGAAAAATATTCTATAGCTATAAAATCTTACAATATTTACTGCATTGATAAATCTATTTTTATTTAATAATTTTAAACATCAGGTAATTTTATTTACGATTTCAATAAAAATACCTTTAGAGCGGTCGCGCATTTCACTTCTCCTAATAATAATTTCAAAATGCCCATACGCATATTATTATGTTCTTGGGGTACTACGGTATTGAAGTAGGTATAGGTATAGGTAGGTATTATTTTAATACGATTAGTTAATTGTGTAGTATTTTAGATTATTTTCCTGGTCTCGTTTTCTAAGCTACAGTTTTTTAATCATTTTTTTAATGAAATCGTATCATATCAATGGTCTTTAAATGAGTCGTCTATTATCAAAGGTGGCAATCTGTGCATTTGGACAAAAAAATGTTATTGATATGTCAATACAGATTGATTTGAATATAATCGTCTCCTTTAAAGAATACGGCTCAAAACCTGCATTAAATAAAGGTTAATAGTTAACCTGTTATTTATATAAGATGTCGTTCAGAAGAGTTTTGTGACTGCCAATGGAATACAAAGTCAATAATTCGTTTTTCTGATTTACCAATAATTGTTCAAAAGTCACATTGCCGGCTTTGATAATAGTCGACTCAAATACTCTATAGTGTCCTAATGGCCATGGCAGGTCAAGTAATAAAAAAATATTAAGAAGAAAACTTAGAATCCAGATCTCATTATAAATTTAAACCATACAAGGGCCCGCCTATTTTCAATGTGGAAGTCATTCAGCACATGCTACATATGAAATTGTTCCCGAACGGCATAGGTGTATTACTAACTTTACAATTTATTTGTAGCATTTTTTTTCAGGCTGCGGTCAGACCAGGGCTAGGTATGCACGAAATCGCTGTAGTCTTCAGTAACTTAATGAAAAGGCTTGGCTATAAGAAATACTATGTTCAAGGAGNCCCGCCTATTTTCAATGTGGAAGTCATTCAGCACATGCTACATATGAAATTGTTCCCGAACGGCATAGGTGTATTACTAACTTTACAATTTATTTGTAGCATTTTTTTTCAGGCTGCGGTCAGACCAGGGCTAGGTATGCACGAAATCGCTGTAGTCTTCAGTAACTTAATGAAAAGGCTTGGCTATAAGAAATACTATGTTCAAGGAGGCGACTGGGGTGCTTTTATTGGTTCCTCAATAGCAACTTCATTTCCCAATGTAAGTTTTTTTTTCATATTGGTATCGATATGCATTTAAATAAACTCAACTGATGTAAAATGATTACTGGAACAGTAACGCATCGCAATATGAATGTGTGAGATGTAGTAACAATCACTTGCTATCAAATTGTAGATTCCGCTGTCAATCTTGAAATATATGATGTCATCTATCTATATATAAATGAATTGCTGTTCGTTAGTCTCGCTAAAACTCGAGAACGGCTGGACCGATTTGGCTAATCTTGGTCTTGAATTATTTGTGGAGGTCCAGAGAAGGTTTAATAGTGAAAAAATATGAAAATACTCGGAATTATATAAAAACAAACAATTTTGTTTTTCCTTTGATGTGTCCTCCGTCGAACGGATTCCTTTTGTTTGTTTTAAGTTTATTTTATACAAAAGTTTAGGTCTTTTATTTATCGATTGAGGTACTACGAAGTCTGCCGGGTCGGCTAGTCTATATCTATACTAATATTATAAAGAGGAAAGATTTGTTTGTTTGTTTGTTTCGAATAGGCTCCGAAACTACTGGACCGATTTGAAAAATTCTTTTTCCATTAGAAGCCGACATTGTCCCTGATGAACATAGGCTACTTTTTTTAATTTTCTTTTAATTTTATTTTTTTGCTTTCATGTGTGTTTTTGTTTCCGAAGCGAAGCGAGGGCGGGTCGCTAGTATAAAATAAAATAGTGGGCTGTAATATGATAGGTGTAATATTGTTCAATTTATAAAACGAGTAACAATCTAGTGTCGCGGGTGACGTTGCTGCACGAAGTGACGAAGCGAGCAAGAAGAGTCGTCGTACCGGGGGTACGGAACGGGCCTCGGGGCAAACCCTACTGCCCGGGATGATTGACGAAGCGCACGGTGTCGAACCGCAAATTAATGATGATCAAATCCACCTCCCCCCCCAAATCCATCCCCGCGCCGCTGTCCTCCTCCGGCACCTGCGCCGCGCGATCGTCGATATCCGTGCATCGACAGCGAAACCAGAATTAGTTTCTATTGAACCGAATTGTAGTAATCGAATTATTTTCAGGAAGTCCTTGGCTATCATACCAACTTAGGGTTATCGCTTACACAGAAAGCCTTGTCCTTAACCCTATTTGGTTCTCTATTTCCATCGCCAGTAGTCGATCCAGCATTGGCTGATCGAACGGATCTATTGTCAGGGCACATAAGGGATGCAATGATCACGGAGTTTGGATACATGCACATACAAGCCACTAAGCCTGATACTCTAGGTAAGACATAAAATTGAATAATATATTTACTAGAATTTCACGAATCATATGGGCAATGAATGGATGAAATTTATTATTTTTATATTACTACAAGATTTTGGACAGTAGAATGGTGATGCATTCTATCTTTTACCATCACACCTAAATTTAGCCATTAATTTTATCATTAACTATGTTCAACTACGTCTCTTGTGGAACTTGCTTCATGATGACGTCTTCACTAGTAAATATATTCCACGCCGGCTTCGGGACACAGCTCTATTTTTGGCTCATCTGATCTAATTTCTGCCATCTTCCATATGTCGTTGCGCCAAGAAGTCGAGGAACAGTTTCAGAAAATCGAAGCTTCTGCGATTTCAAATATCATTAATAGTAATTTTGCACATGTCCCTTAACCCCATTTTAACAGGAATAGCAATGACAGACTCACCAGGAGGTCTACTAGCATACTTCCTCCAATTAATCTCAACTGGGACTCGAAGTTATTTCTTGAACCTCGAAGACGGAGGCATAGATAAATACTACACTCGAGATCAGTTGTTGGATAATATCATGATGTATTGGGCGCCGAAAAGTATAACCACTTCATTTAGGATCTATGCTGAATCTCTGAACCGGAGAACGCTGGCGTTGGGAATTTCTGAGTATGTATCTTGTGACTTGTTGGATTTCTTAATCTTAATTTCTAAGCTTATTTGTAAAAAATAGATCAAAATAAACATATTCATATTATAATATTGAATAGAGAAGCTTTACATTCAGATGCTGGGTGTTAAGCTTTCGCTTTCAAGATATAAAGCGGCGACCACGCCAACACACACATATGCTACGGCCATTGAAGCAGTCTACTTTCGCTGTCAGAAACCAAGTCAATTAATGCATCATTTATTCTGTTTGAAGTAGACAAGACGGTGGTACGAGTGCGTACTGACTCACAAGAACATGCTCTGAATCCGCGTAGATTCGAATAAATTTTTTATTACTTTTACAATAAGCTTGATATGCGTATTGTAAATAAAATAATCTGATGGTAGGGCGTCTTGTGAGCCCGAACAGTTAGATACCACCGCCCTGCCTATTTCTAACGTGAAACAGTAATGCGTTTCGATTTGAAGGCAGCCGTTGCACTGTAAAAACTTAGACTTTGAACTCGTGTCTCGGGTGAGGGGCGACATAAACTTTTTTGTAATCCGGTAACCACTTAACACCAGGTGGACCGTGAACTCATCCACCCAAATAAGGTATACTAAAAAAAAGTTACCGATTTTAGGCACTGATGATGCTCTTAACAGGTTAAGGGCCGAGATTTTCTTTGCGATTTTTGCCAAAAGTAATTAAATGCATATGGATAAAGAATTACTCAAATAAGCTATTCCTGCTTTTAGTTTTTTGATTATACAATTATATTGTCGAATAGTCCCCCTTCAATATGTTATGGCTACAAGCCTAGATGAGCCATGGGGGTCCGCGTTTCTTACATATTCAATGGAAAACTTGCCGTCAGGGATATTCTGGGCAGGTGAGTTGCGGCGGTCACAAGGGACCGCTAATTTTCTTTTGGCAAAGTAGTATCAACCCACAGGGACCGCTCCAGTCCTTAACCTGTTAAAGCAATTTAGAGTTCAACATAATATGTGTTCAAGGTGTACATCATTCTAATTTTTTATTTTTCTGAGATCTCATAACGGCCCGCTTCACTTCAAGGTGTGGCCTTTTTTACCCTTATTTTAAAATGCTAATTTAGATATGCATTAAGTCCTACATACTTTTTGCTTTTAAAAATTTAATTGTGTACTCTGTTACCCAGTACTCCTTGTTATTAGTAAAAAAGCATAGATAATTATGTAAAGGCTTAAGGCCCACAGAAACAACGCGTCCATGGCACAAAAATTAGATTATTATATTTATGACATTACTAATAAAGTTTACCTGTTTATTATGTAAAATAATTAGCCTAACACTTTAAATTACTGAATTATTAGAATAATTCTCTAAAACTTAATTATAAACAAGTTGACTAAGGCATTGGCATAAGGCATAAGGCATCTTTTTGATTTCAGAATACCTACTCCAGTTCCAACAATCACGATTCACGCCAGCGATGAAATTGCCTACCAATCGCCTTTGCTTCTCAGAACTAAATTCACTAACTTATTGTATACTACAAACATAGATACCGGTGGTCATTTTTTGGCCTTAGAAATGCCGATACTCTTTGCTAATGATGTTTTAAATGCCATCGCCGAATTTAGGAACTGGCACGCAAAGGGAGGTCACGGTAATGGAGAATTACTTCCCAACAATAATGGATAATTAAGACCTCTTAAAATTTAATCCTCTCTATTCCATTAACGAATGTTTCATAATATATTTTGGCACTTTAGATTTTACTAAAAGTCTTAAATCACTGGCTTCCTTAATGTACCGCTAAAAGGTATTTTGTGGCATTTGATACTTATCTACGTAATACGGTAAAATGTTCAGCAACCACGTCATATCTGATCCTCCCGATCCACTAACGGTGCTTCTAGGTACCTCAAGCACCGGTCATCGTTCCCGTCGAACCCGTCGCTTGCGACGAAGGGCTCGACGAGTAAATTAACTCTCAGACACAGCCCACTGAGTTTCTCGCCGGATCTTCTCAGTGGGTCGCGTTTCCGATCCGGTGGTAGATTCTGCGAAGCACGGCTCGTGATAGGGTTCATGTTAGCAACGTCGTCAGGTTTGAACCCCGTGAGCTCACCTACTAGTTAAGGTTACGCTGATATAGCCTCTCAAGGCTATCAGCTTGGGTAGGAAAAAAAGAAAAAAAAAATAAGCTCAGCAAACGGAACAAATTTCATATCTCGTTTGAACCAAAAACACCGTGGAAACTATTTAGAGGGCGCCCAGCGGACGAGTGCAGTCAATTTCACGGCTTGCCAGGCTAATCTCTGTGTTGAACTCAGCCGAAGGCGTTTTCGTACAGTTTCAAAACATTGACATAAGCAGTTTGAATTTTTAGTACAGAAACAGTTAAGATTTTTTGATTCGACCCAGGTCTTAATTTTGTTACTTGAAAACGTCTCGGCAATTCATTTTCATCTATTATCATTGTCGTCGCAACACCTGCCATTGAAACGAAGTTCGTCAATACCAAAATCAGCCTCTAACATTTGTTTGCTGAGAAGATTCTTGACAGCTATTAGAGCCCTCCAACTTTAGAACAAGCTCCTTTTCAAGGTACTCCCTGAATGACATGTCCTTCTTCAAAAGATTTCTGTTACAGATTAATTAGCTGCGCCATTTCGTGGTATATGTTAGCTTTTATAGCAATAAAACCGACAGAACGTTCTAGTTTAAAGATCGGTGGCGGTTAGACGTTGCGAAATTTATGTGCTCCGGTAACACTAAATGTATCATTAAGAGAATTAATAAATAATGTAAACAATGGAAAACCAACATCATTACAATAGATTTACAGAAACATGATTAAGGATATTTAAGATGGATAATAGACTTCTCAAGTTGGTTTTTGATTGCAAACCAAGGGTATAAGGGTATAGGGCATATACTCTGGAGAACAGTCGGTGCTACCCAACCAAACCGTCACATCATGGTGAATATAATAACTAAAGTAGTACTATGGATGATTTATGTTTTTGGAAGTAATTTACTGAACGTGCTATTATTTTACGTCCTATTATTATACCATCAGGTGGGCCGTATGCTCGTCTGCCTACAAGGGCAATTAATAAAAAAAATTAATGTGTTCTAGTTTGAAGTAGACGTTTGCAATGTTGCACAGTGATTTAGTTTTTAGTAAGATACACTAATACTTTATATATTTTTGAATTAAGCCATATGAATCATTGTTAAATTCATGTAATCTTTCCTGTTCTTATTTGTAATAACTAGTGGTCCCCCGGTAGTCGAAATTCGACTATAATTAATTGAAATTATAAGTTTGTACACTAATATGATTCTATTGTCAAAGACTATTATAGTTACTTTTATAATCACAGATTTCGCCAAAACTACACTTAAGATAAATGTTAATAAAAAACAATATTCAATCTTTCTCAACTTATTCATAGACTTTATCAATAAACAAAATCGTATGGTATATGCGTGTGTGTGTCAAATATAATATATGTTAGTGTGTGTAATGTTTTCTTTATTGGTTTACTGTATTTTTTTTGCATTATTTAAAAAAATATTAGCATTGTGCACTCCTTCTCTATATTCTGTATAAGTTTGGGAAATTTCATACTTCTCCGTCCGCACAATTTTCTTAAAAAGGGGTACAAAGTTTTTGCTTCACGTATTAATATTGTGATTTGTGCAAATAAAATTAAAGTAAACAACAATATCTTATTAGAATTGTAAATAGCCTAATTTGACGTAATACTTGTAGACCAAATCACAAAAAAATCGCAAAACAATGCAGTTTGAAGCAAGGAAACGAATTGTCTTAACCGATCGTAGCGAGCAAAGGTTAACACTACATTTTTCCTGTCTCTTTGACCCAACGATAAAATTCGGATCGACCGCCAGGGGGTTAACAGATAAACACATATCTGTAAATCGTTTCGCATCACGGACCTTTGAGATAAAACGCCAAAGAGGCTTAGTCAAACAAAGTTTTTCGCCCCATGCGATTCTCAAATGTATATAATCCGTTTTGGCTTTTGCGGATTTTGTTTTCGAGAGTTACTGAACATCGAAAAGTATAATCTCTAAGCTCTCTAATTGGATATTTTGCTCTTTACAACGGGAAGAGCTGAAGGATAAAGGAACAGTTTCGGTTGCATCATAAGAAGACTTTCAGTCCAATAGTGTCAGTAATCAATCATGAGCGTGTCGGCCGTATGCTCGTCTGCCTACGAAAACAATAAAAAAGCTACTTTGCTACCCCAACTGTATCTCCAGTAAAGACCTCGAGGTTGGACTTTTCATGCTCGGATGACACAAGGGCTCCACCCCCAATATGTGAAGCAGCTTCCCCGCCAACATATATGGCGCGTGGTGGCCACTGCAGCATTCTACTCTCGTGGTCAGGAAATTATTCCAGAAACGCACCATCACTACATAGTATAAAACAAAGTCGCTTTCTCTGTCCCTCTATCCCTATGTATGCTTAAATCTTTTGATTTAGATTTTGATGCGTTTTTTTTAATAGATAGTGATTGAAGAGGAAGCTTTATATGTATAATAACATCCATTAAATAGTGGAGGAATCAATAATAAATTAGAGTTTCCGAAGCGAAGCGAGGGCGGGTCGCTAGTTTATTCTAAATGGTGAAAATAGACAAAATGACAAGACGAGTGCGTAGGTATTGGTTCAGAAGAACACGTCCTTAATCCGCATATATCCGAATAAAATTTTTAATTACTCTACGTACCTTCGTTATACATCGGAATACATCCACATCTACCGTTTTGTTGGGTAAAGAGCAAAAATTTATGGACGAAAACCTAATTAATAGACTGCCATTTAGGAGGACAACGATCTTTTTATGAGGCCCCGGACTTAATTGCATATTTACCTCGATATTGTGTCGACAGGTGTTACCTTTGATGGAGATCTAACTATAGCATTTTATTGTGTTTCTATAACTCTTACATTTCATTTAAGACACTCGTGACTTAATCTCGTATTTATAAATATTCGTTAAATATGTATAACAAGTTTTGAACAAACAACCGATAGATACTGTTTTTTTTTTCGTTTTATTACGAACAAGATCATGATTCTTCTGTAGGCTATTTATTGCCCATTGGTGTATATATAACCTAAATGTCGCCTACCTTAAGACATCACAATAAAATATTAATCCTTTTGGCAAAATCAATGTTTTGACATTGAAACCGGAACGCAAACTTTCATAATAGGGTAGAGCTACACAATGGTACTTGATTCGTTATGTTGAGTTGTGAGGTATTTAACTTTTCTGATCAAATATGCGTGAAATCAAATCTAATGAAGGTATGTAGATAGTAGTAATAAAATTGCATACTATGAAGGTTTCCAATTGCAGTAATTGAAGTGGAAGGACCTTTAGAGGTCCGCACGGGTAGGTAACACTATCCTACTTAATTTCCTGCCGCGCAGCATACATGCGTTTCGGTTAGAGGGGACATTGTTAGACATTACTTTAACTTCATGTTTCTAGGCGGGTAGTGGAAAGTCACAGGAAAAGTAGAAGGAAAACGACAAGCTGAAACGGAGTCATGATCCTCACCAATGAAGGAGCGATGGAGAAGAAGAAGAAAGTGGAATCAAAGCTATGATTTCTATGCGCTATGTATGTAACACCAAGAAGGCTGTAAACACCTTCACTCATTTAATCAGAGATTGATAATAAGTAATATTAAAATATCAAATGCGATAACCTCTCTCATATACAAATAGGTAACAACAAAAGTGGTTCAACACACATGTAGCCGACATTTTAAAAAGAAGAACCGCCGTGGAACCGAGTTCTGTCATAATAACTCATTGTGCGGTGCACTCTTGATAAAATTGTCGCCTTTAGGGTTGCAGTCAAGTTAATAAAAATAGGCACTAAACGAATATCTTTATTAAGATTAAACAGAATATTTTTTTGTATTCTTCTTAGAACATTAACCTCTCCTTAACTCACTTTCGTCTATTTGTGACCAATACCACGGGTAGGTATGTTTGTATTTTTTTTATGAATGAGCGATTACTGGTGGCTGACAATGGACCTTATCAGACGGCTTAATCACTCAAAGAGCAATGGAGAGGGCTATGCTCGGAGTTTGACTGCGAAATCAGAACCAAAAACGAGGAGATTCTCAGATGAACCAAGGTAACTGACATAGCCCGGAGGATTGCAAGATTGAAGTGGCAGTGGGCAGGTCACATTACTCGTAGAACAGATGGCCGCTGGGGCCGAAAAGTTCTCAAATGGCGACCGCGTACCGGAAATTGCAGCGTCGGTAGGCCTCCCATAAGGTGTGCCGACGACCTAATCAAAGTCGCGGGAATCCGCTGGNAGGAGATTCTCAGATGAACCAAGGTAACTGACATAGCCCGGAGGATTGCAAGATTGAAGTGGCAGTGGGCAGGTCACATTACTCGTAGAACAGATGGCCGCTGGGGCCGAAAAGTTCTCAAATGGCGACCGCGTACCGGAAATTGCAGCGTCGGTAGGCCTCCCATAAGGTGTGCCGACGACCTAATCAAAGTCGCGGGAATCCGCTGAATGCAGGCTGCGCAAGACCGGTTTTTATGGCGAACCTTGGGGGAGGCCTGCGTACAGCTTTGAATGTCGGTGGGCTAAAAAAAATTGGTACTAAAATATTTACAAAGCACTAAAGGGCAGGCTTGAAGGCTTCGCTTTGCAATAAATCTTACATAAAATCAACACTGAAATAGTGTGGAACTATTACGATACCCTTTGGCTCTTAACTGCTTTCATCATCTCTTTTCTCGAATAGAATCAGCACTCATGATCCTTTATTAGAGAGCACGCCCTTCCTTCCCGGTCAGTCCTATTCCTGATTCTGTGCGGCACTCTATGCGGCGTCATTGTCGTTATAATTATTTTGATTAAAGTAACTTTTAAAAAGATCCTCTCACAATTTCGTGTAACAGAACGGAATGGTCGTCAATATTTATGGACAGATGCAGACATAAAAAACTACTTTAAGGTATTTATTAAATTAAATAAACAGTTGACAACCCCTGCGTTAGGTCCGCTTCCTGGATGTGTGCATGCCTTTATTGTCCACCTTTCAGCATTCTGAATATTTATGCTTTCTGAAAGTTTTAAATTGATCCAGTGGATTTGTTCCTTTTCGTAGAGTTTAATAAAGCATATAGAATCTATGAGATCCGCAATCATTTATTTAGTGTAAACGTAAAGAAACTTAATTAAAGTTATCGTTGAATACCAAACGTAAATAATAAAATCTGCGCTGAAAACAAAAGTTCGCTCTATTTTAGCATTTAAAACCATATTAAAAAATGAAAAAAAAAAAATTGTAATATAAAATAGCTACAGCAAATCTTAGAAAATGTATTTTGCCTACATCTCGACACGGAAGCGAAAGCGTTGTGCAATATAATACTAGGACATTTCTATACATTTCTGGTGCCCAGCTCAGTAAGCCACCGCAGAACAGAAGCACCGCATTGCGACGCCAACGTAATCCCCTAGGATCGATTTCACTATTGTAAATGGCAATAAACTATGGGTACCGATAAAGACTTCAGATAAAGTAAGTAACGCAGTTTTTGTTACTAAAAAATGTTTTTAGTGACAGCCTTCCTAAAATATCGTCTCTAGTATCTTTAAAAAGTTTTAGATCCACTAACTCAGACAGTGCTTTGTTTGTAAATTACGATTCTGTTTTAAACATCGGTTTCATAAAACAAAGCTTGAATATTGTTTTTTTTTTGCGAAGGAAGGATAACTGGAGGCCCTGAAGCCTTTCCAGTTTCACCAGGACAGGTAGGCAAGCAAGGGCTGAGCCAGGAGGGGAGGGGTTTCCTAACAGCTACTCGAGCGTCTTCAAAGGAGACCTAACAACTCAGGACTAGCTGCTTCGCGAATGAATCTACTATCTGATAGGAATCGCTTGAATTCTGATTTTTATTAAATGTTGTTGTACCCTATGTGATTCATTTTATAAATAATAATTCAGTTTATTTTGGAATATTACTTTTATTTTTCGTTCACCCAAGCCCACCCGTTCCACACTATCCGTTTATTCTCAGAGCAATTTGTTCCTCAAAATTGGGTCAGAGGGCGCTACGAATAAAAGGCGGGAAATCAAATTTAGATACCACACTTATGAATGTATTATAATATTTCATGTATTAATATATCGATATATTTCTGCATTCGGCAACACTATCACAGGAAATTAAACCGTGTGATCAAATCAGAACCTAAAATGTAGTCGTAATTTCACCGCTGGTCAGTTGAGGCTTAGCGACATTTACGTATCCAAAAAATCCTATATATGGGCATAGAATAAAATTTTTGTGCTATCTTAATTTTTATTTGTGATCTGACACTACCATCTCAATACTGGGTATTAAAATAGCTCACACAAATCGGATTAAACTATGCGCGTCAACGGAATTCCGATATCGAGAGACATTTCCTTTGTCACGTGACTTTTATCCGGTATTTTTCAACTATAAAATACGTGTTTGCTTATGTACGAATTTCAGTGAAGCTACATTTGATTTGTGCCTGATTTTTCCGCCAGACAAGATTCTGGCGAATCATCATTATCATCATCAGCATATAGCAGTCCATTACTGAACAAAAACATATAAATCATTCAAGCGAATAGAAAATACTAATTAATATACTTTCATATAAATAGGAATTTTGGAATAGCTAAAGAGAATGAGAGTCAAAAAACGAGAGTAAATAAATAAATAAATAAATATTTACTAACAATCACGCCACGTTAACTGGTCCCGTGATAAGTTCGTAAAGAACTTGTGTTACAGGTACCAGATAACGGAAATAAATGTAAGATTTTTATTATACACATACATACATTTAATATACATCCATAACCCTGGAAAAGACATTTATATTTATCATACAAATATCCTCCCTTGGCGGGACTCGAACCCGCGACCCCTTTGTGTAGTGACCATGTCACCATGTCACTTACCACTACACCAGACGGCTTAAATTGGTTTGGAATATTTTTTTATTAGTATTTCAATAAATTTTAAAAAAAGATATTCGATCGTATTGTATGAGGATATAGTACTGAATACATGCACTTATTTTTTAACTTATTCTTAATAAATTGACATTGTTAATGGAATACATAGTGTTCTCTTTTTATGGTAGGTTATTGAACGAACTCATGGTCGATCCGAATGATTCATTGTTTACCATAGTCATCGCAAAGATTTGAGATCAAAGTCGCAATTTTACAAAAAATGGCTCTCTCACCTTTGATGCCGGAACACTTCTTCATCGTGGAAGTCGTTAGCGAACACCGAAGCTTGAACACCTATATCATCGCTTAGCTCCGCAGAGCCTCTTATTTTTTGACCAGGGCATCTTCAGTTACGACGTTTAAGGTTGTTGACCCGAGTAATAACGTAAGTTGATCATCCTCAACACTGAAGACGATGTTCGCGTTCGTCATTCTTTCGAAATAATATTATTAAACATCAAGATTTAATGATTATATTCTACTACAGATTTGAAGGGCATGCAATGTATGTATCTACATATAATTAAAAATCAGTTGATGTTTTAACCCGCGTCAACGCTGTCGTGTGACGCTCAGGAAGTCTTACTTAACTATAGATTGCAGTTTTACAAAAAAATCTAAATATAAATATATAAATTAAAGTTCCCATTCTAAATTGATTTTTTTTTATATTGGTGCAGTTTTTATTTTGTTATTTTGAAGGGTATAATAAATACAGACCAAAAATATACCAGACTTTGTATTTCCAAGATAACATTGATTAATTATTAAACTGAACCGTAAAAGTTGTATATTCATTTAATTATATTCATTTCTACAGCTATTCGAGAAGTTAGATAAAGAAAACAACACGTACAAGTCATTAATTTGCATTTAAACCAAACAATTTTCTGTGAATTGAAAGCCCAAAAACAGTTTTGCTTTAAAGGTAACGTCTGCAAAAACATCTGAAGGCCGTTATAGAAAGCTGAAAGCGTAAATAAAAGGCAAGTGAGTGCTCAGAGGAAGTCTTATTCCGTTCAATATCGGTTAAAGGAAGGAAAATAATGGGAGAATAACCGACTTCATTATGCTAGAAATGATTAATATGGACTAAGAAAAATCTCCGAACTGAATTGTTTGTTGTTGAACTAACTGAGTGGACCATAGGTCGCTGGTTCATATCCGGGTCGAAGGACCATGTTTGTTGTTGAACTAACTGAGTGGACTGTAGGTTTTGTGGTTCTTGTGAAATATAAACACTTTATCACTATTACTGGGTGTTTATTGATATTTATAGAAAGTACAAAGGTTTTTACAGGCACAGCGATGGAAGCGAATTTTGTGAATGAAAATTATGACTGGTTTAAGACCTAGTGAATGATTTAGAATGAATGACATTAATGTAGGTTTGCTACATGAATTTCAATTTTGCTCATTTAAAACTTTGTTTTATATATTTTTCAGAGGTTAATAAAAAAATAATACACATTAATTAGACGCTTCAACTAAATTGTTGATATGTTCAACAGATTAATTCACATTTCATTTAATTCAAATTCCTATCGGTACTGTTGTCCTTGTGCCCAATAAAATTCGGAGAGGTATGCACGATATATATACATGTATATTTATATAGCTCTGTTTATTTTTCTCGTTTACTGTTCGCCCTGTTTCTTGTTTACCGATTTTGTTTTTCTTGTTCAGTACTTAGCTATTGACTATTTCCTTTTAGTGTTGTCGTCAAATGCTTATGGGTATAGACTTGTCAAATGAAATGTCAAAAACCAAAGAAGAAACCGTAATAATAAAATAAATCTGGAAGTGTTTTTGAATATGGACGAATTTCGATCGTTAGGCGAACAAAGTGGGGTCGGTATAGTGTATTTTTCTATTCCCTTCTCTCCATCAGCCGTCGTCTCAACACTCACTTCTCTCTCTCTCTCATAGACATATTCATTCACACACTCCATTCATGTGTTCTTCGGTCGACCTCTTCCCCCTCTACCTTGCATACAATTTCCATACATATCCTATTCACATGCATCTTCTCTTTACGCATCATATATCCATACCACGCTAACCGTCCACTCTTTAATTTTTGAGGAGGCTGAACGACGGAGGCGACGTCTACTTGTGTTCGAGCGTAAGATTCTAAGACGGATATTCGGTGCTGTGCAGGAAACCGAGATATGGAGGACGCGCTATAACCACGAGTTGTATGATGTTTACAAAGATCCTAACATCATAACAACTATAAAGATTGGACGCCTACGATGGGCAGGACATGTGGTTCGAATGGAGAGTACCAGAATGCCGAGACAATTGCTCTATGGCAAACCAGAGGGCCGCAGAAGTCGTGGCAGACCCAAACTCCGATGGTTGGATGACGTGGAGCGCGACCTCAAAAATATCGGCGTCAAGAACTGGAAGTAGAAAGCCCTGAACAGAGCAGTCTGGAGAGACATACTGGACCAGGCTAAGGCCCACCCTGGGCTGTAAGGCCTAAGATGATGATGATGATGATGAACTAAGGAGGGAAGATCTTCCACCGAGCGGGTGATATTGCTCAGTAGACCGACGGTCCAAATGTTGTTGTTCGGAACTTGTATATATGCGCTTTATCTTGAAAATGTCGTAAGCGAGATTCAGGCATCTGTCAATTATATTGCGTTGTATGATGGCTACCCACCTCAAATTTATCGATCACTGGGGCTACTTTCACACTTCCTCTGATATACTCATTCCTTAAATTGTCCATTCTTGTCACTTCACACATCCATCTCAACATTCGCATCTCTGCCGCATGCGCTCCTCTAATTCAAATTCAAATTCATATAGCACGACAGGTCTAATGATCTTTGTAAATTTTCCCCTTGAGCTTAAGGGGCATTCTACGATCGCATGCTGCTGCAGAGACTTGTCGCCATTTCACCCAACCAGCGTTTATTCAGCTCGTTACATTACGGTCTATGTTGCCGTAGTTCTGGAGTATAGAGGTACTTAAAGTTGGAGCAGACTGATAGGGATACACCATCTAAGGCGATTGGCGCGAAGTCTGAAGAACCACCAAAATAATAGAACATGTGCTTGGTTTTTGTTTGACTGATCTTCAAACCCACGTTTTCCAACCTTAGGCGTACCTCGTTACCTCGTTAAGCAAACACTAGCTATAAAATTAAGTAAGATCATACTAATGTCAGTGTGATGGAAAAATTGCTCCTCTTGTGCTCAATATTCAATGTGTACCGTTTATTGTGTGAAAGCAAATAACAAGTTCAATATTGGTTAATTTATACAGCCTTTGAAGATATTAACATCAGTATTACAATAATTTACTTTCACGTTAGTACATCTATAACTAAAATATAAAGACACACATGAAACTGCCTCGCATGAACATAAATGTTTGATCTGAACTAAACTAATTTGAGCTTACTACCTGTACACGTTAAGCTTAAACATAAAATAGTTATTGATATAGGTGTGTAGGATTGGTAAGAACAGAACGAATGTGGAATGTGTGGAATAGAATGACAATGCCTCTCAGTAAATATAAAAAAATATGTAAACAACGAGAATTAAATAAAAATACGTAATAAGCACATGCGCACGAATGATTTTCAGTATGAAGAAAATCGTGTAATTAAGAATACTCGCCCACACTAACAGGTACTACCGTCCTGCCTATTTATGCCGTGAAGCATGTATGCGTTCCGGCTTGAAGGGTAAAT